CGGGGGCGGGGCTGGCCTGGGGTCGGGGCCATGGGAGGTTGGCCGGCGGGCCCCACCCTCATCTGCCAGTTCGCTGGCCGCAGTGGGCATCATAGCAACCAGTGGGAGTCATAGCGACTAGTAGTTCCAGTCGTTACAGCATTCAGGTCCTGGCTTTTTATATATATATATAGAAGATACTGTCTTCATAGGGACTTTCAGAAGACAGGTACAAGCTTGCAAACTGGTACACATTTTCTGGAGAATAATTTTAGAATATATCAGGAGTTGTAAAATGCATTCATACAATCTGGCCAGTAACTACACTTTTATACCTTAAGTGAGTAACTTGTACAATATGCTCATTACTGTACTATGGATATGAAGAAATTGAAATGACTGGAAAGATCAATATTTAAGAGATGGTGTATCTCAGGGCTGACAAACTTTCTCAGTAAAGGGCCAGACAGTAAGTATTTTAGGCTTTGAGGCCTATACATGGTTGCTGTCATGTATACCTTTCTCCTTAAAATCCTTTAAAAATGTGAGGACCACTCTGTGCAGCTGAGTGCTGGATTTGGCCCCCAAGCTGTGGTTTGCCACCCCTGATTTCTATCTCAACCAATAGATTCAACAGCAGACATGAAGGGCCATTAAAAATCAAAATTCTAAATATTTAATAAACTAGGGACATGCTCATGATACTAAAAATAGACTACAAAGATATATGCAAGATAATTTTTATTTAGAAATATATAAGCACACACATTTTAAAAAAAAGATTACAAGAACCAGCATTAAACTGTTAGCACTGGCTTCTGTGGTGGCAGAATCATAGGCGATTTCATTGTAATATGGGCTTTGGTTTCCCAGCTTTCCATTATGAGTGGATATGACTTCGACCTCTGATTCCTCGATCTGCCATCTTTTCAGTGTCCCTCACCCTCCTTACCAGGTTAAACCACTCACTCCTTCACTCTCCTCTGCTCCAGCCACACTGGCTGGGCTGCTGGGCACACTCTCCCACCAAGCTCCTGCCCAGGCCCTGTCCGTGACCTGGCCTCCCTGTCCCATGCTCACCCCCAAATACCACCGGCCCACTCCCTGCGTCACTCGGGCCTCTTCAGAAAACAGGCCTTTCTCGCACCTTCCCCAACAGCGTTTTCAGTCACTTGCTGTCCCGTTACCCAGGGTTGCCTTCCTTCAGCCTTTAGCACCGACACAGTTCTATTGATGTGGGTACTCTAGCTCCCCAACAAAACATACATTTGATGGGATGAGGTGTTTTACTTGACACTAAATCCTTTACATCTGAAACAGTGCCTGGCACGTGGTGAAGGTAAAGTGGCTGCTGAATTAATAACACAATCAATTCAATATAAGACCACAGCCCGTTTGGAAAGAAAGAGGAAATCTGCCTCAGTACAGGTTGGCCTGTTAACACCTAACTTGAAACATAGTTCCTTCACAAATCCGTGTCTGCAGCAGGCAACATATCCAACTCAAACACCAGCCCTCCCCGTTCCGGCCGTTCTCAATGTCCCCATACTCACAGCATCCGCAGATGGTAGAAGGAACTGTCACTCTGGTCGAGCCACGGCCCCTTGTCAAACTTGAGGTATTCGATGTCCTCCACCACCTGGACAGTGGGAATTCCAATTTTAATGGAAAGTCTCATTTAAATGACACGACATTTTAATACACCATAAACTACAAATATCTGGCAGGAAGAATCACACCATAAAAGTAAAAAAGGAAGGAAGTCCAAACAGATGGCCTTCAGTGAAGCGGGGGACTGAGTGATGACCCCTCAATGTGGGCGTCTTGCCCAGCTGACACAGGAGACATTACCTGACAGTCTGGGAGAAAAGGGGCAGGTAAGAAAGAGTCAGACTAGGGAGGAGATGTGAGTTTGTGACAGACTACTCATTTCCTCCCAAGCAACTTCATTCCAGGAACAACAGAATAATAATAAAGTAAATTCGTTCCTTTGGGAAGTTCCATGATCCATGTTCTCAGCCCAAAGCCTGCGGCCAGGACAGCCTGGCCTCCCAGAGGAGCACCTTTAGGATGCACTCTCTCCTGAAACACACCCAACTGGGAGAAGTCACCTAAGTTTCAAGAATTTGGATATATTCAATAAGAACTCAAATAATGACAGTCTTAGAGCTAAAATGCATCACTCTTCTCAAACACATGCCATCTATTCTCTCAAAGATTTCACAATAACCTAAAACAAGTCAGCACTACAAACACAGAAGGCTGGGAAGGAATGAAATGTGGCTGAATCAGTGGAAGAGCAAAATAAATCAAACCTAAAAGGAACTCTGAAGCCGGCCCAGAGCCAGCTGAACGCAGGCCTCCCATAGGAGAACCCTGCTCTCTCTCCTCCAAGCCAGGAGGCAGCTCGGGGTGTTTCATAGGGAAGCAGGCAGCTCTGTGATCCTTCTGCTATGTCACCACCTGCAGCTCAACCCCAGATCACAAAATGTTTTTTCTTCTAAAATTCTTATTTTTTTAAAGTAATTTATGCTTTTTTTTTATGTTCTTATTGATTTTTTTAGAGAGAGAGGAAGGGAGAGGGTTAGAGAGACAGAAACATTAATGATGAGAGAGAAACATCATCAATCGGCTGCCTCCTGCACACCCCTATCAGGGATCAAGCCCACAACCCAGGCATGTGCCCTGACCAGAAATTGAACTGGTGACTTCTTGGTTCCTGAGCCACACTGGCTGGGCTGTGCTTAATATATAAGATGTGAGATAGTACTTTTCTTTTTTAGCAAATGAATGGTCAACTGCCTCAATACCTTTCAAGAAATAAACTGTTTTCCTCTACTTTCTTATTAGCCTTTAAAATACTGTCTTTACCAAATCAAGCCTCACACATGTGCAGGTGCACACACACACACACAAGAACACACACACATGTGAGCACGCATGCGCACCTGTTTCTGGACTCTGTACTGTTCCATTCATCTATTCATTTATTCTAGTATTACCACCACAGTGCTATCATTGCCATAATTTTGTAATATGCTTTTGTATTTGGGAGGGCAAATGTTCTTATATTACTTTTTTTCAAAATTTTTTGGCTATTACTCATTAATTATACCGAGATTCACTTGAATTTTTACAAAATGCACCTACTAATTTTGGGGAAGCTGGTATCTTGACATACTAAATCTTTCTTGTTAACTAAGTCAAGTTTCAGTGTTACCTTCTATATCATACATTCTGAAACAGGTAACTCGTGGCTCTTTGTATCCACCACTACATCATTTTAAGATCACAGAAGCAGAATTATTTGTAAGAAAATAATGTCCAGAGAGCGTGATGGGTGTGGAACTTCCCTTTGATTGTAAAACACAGCTGTTTCCCAGACCATTGGGAACTGAACTGATAATCTGATTCGCAAGAAGCTTATACATGAATTGGATTTAATAATCACAAACTTTTCAGTCATTTTCTTACCTTTTCTGCATCTTGAGCTTCCTTTACACTATACTGTAAAACTTCACATTTTTCACTGTAGATAAAGAGGAAAGTCAGTGTAAATTTTCCAAGCTTACATTACTGTACAAACAAGCACTTAACCTTGAAGTTGCCACTACAAACAGGCACAGGTCACATTCTTGAACTGGGCGCTGGGCTGGGCCTGCACTGGCTACCATGGCCTGACTAGGTCAGGAGGACAAGTTACAAGTAGGAATGTGCCCATGACTGGACAGTGACAACAGCAGGTCTGCTCCTGCCTTCCCTGCTGCTTCCACCCCACAAGCGTGAGAAACCAGAGCCACCCGTGTCTACAGAAGGCAGGGCACACAAGTCACCTGTACTGCTATGCAGACTGTCTCCAGAGGCTGCACTCATTTAAAAAAAAAAAAGTACAAAGGAGGCCAGGGCCTCAGTGAGACATGTGTACTGACAGCAGCCCAGTGGTCATGGTGGACACACACATAGATTACCTGAGCTGCTAGAATCTAGAATTTCAGAGGCAAATGAACCATCAAAATAAGCTCTTTCAATCAAACTATGCAACAGGACAACAACTCCCTTCCCTTTGTCCTTGGCACTGAAAAACCATGGTTGGATCCCAGAGAGAAGGGGACAACAGAGTGCCATTTACTCTGCCACTTCCTCTCCACACGGCCGTTAGAGACCTGCTCGCCCAGCAGGAGATGACTGAAAGCTGCAGGCTGGTAAGACTATACCTTACCAGTGAAGGAGGCTGCCTGCTTCCATCTGCAGACCAACTAGACGGAAACCCTAGGCCACACCTGGCCAGAGGCCAGCAAGGCCACCCTTTAGAGCCCACTCCTGAAGGGGACAGCAGAATGCCGAGGATGGACTATGCTTCCCACAGATTGTCCACACAGCAGACACAGGGACATTTTCTCATTTAGGTGTCCCTACACCAGCGCACCATCCTATTCATGGGATGTAACCTATAGAATAAATACCTTAAGAATTCACAAGCTGAAATCCACATGAGACCCACTACTATGGTGCCAAACATCACCACCTCTGCAGAACATGGTCAACAGGCTGCTGTTTCATTCACAGTTTTGCTTCTGTGGTATAAAAACTAGCTGTAGGCGTGTGTGCGTGTGTGTGTGCGTGCGTGCGTGCGTGTGTGTGTGTTTTCTAACTTTTCCAGATGAACACCACACTATACCAGATTTTACAATGTGGCTCATGCTCCCTCCTGTCCACACTTGCCTCCTGCATGCATTTCTCACTCCTGGCCCTGTTGAACAGTCTGCACATGGATGAAGTTGATTCCACCCAGGAGCTCGTGGTATATGGATTTACAGGAGCCACTTAACCCAAACACTGATTGAGATTCCATTTAAAGTATCCACAGACACTGCCTATCTTCACGCCTGTCTGTACCGGTTCCCTGAGCACCACCACCAACCAACCCTTCTAGGTCACCTAAAGTAAAAATATGTGAGTTTTCTCATGCTGAAACCCATAATGAAACAGAGCTTCAGTTTACTTAAAGCATAAAAAAATATTAAAACTATAACAAGACAAGAAATGTTTTGACAAAATAAGCAAACCAAAAAAACAAACCAAACAACCAAAAACCCTGCCAAATCACACAGAAAAGTATGCTGTCATTCTTGCTTAACAGCAGATTAAACACTCAGACAACATCCCTGCACACACAGAGAGCTCCCCGGGCGGCGGGGCATCAGGACCTGTGTGTGAAAGACTGTGCTCTCATAGATAGTCATGCCCTTGGCTCACCTCATTTCAGGAAGGAAGGTCTTCTTATAGGCGTTCTCGATGTCCTGAAGATAGGCAGAGGTGATTTTCATCTCATGTGGCTAAACAAACAGAAGTACAGGTGTGAAGGCTCAGCCTTCTCTGCCTTTACCTGTGCATGTATGAACTGTGGACACAATCAGTGGACAGTGTTTTCTTAGAACTCGTGCTGGGTGCTGCAGGGACTCTGGGTGATAGGAAGCGGCCTTGGGACGACTTAGGATTACTCTCATCTTCATCTCAGTGTCAAAAAGGTCCTGCCCTGGCTGGTTTGGCTCAGTGGATAGAGCGTCGGCCTGCAGACTGAAGGGTCCCAAGTTCGGTTCCAGTCAAGGGCAAATGCCCAGGTTGTGGGCTCGATCCCCAGTAGGAGGTGTTCAGGAGGCAGGCAATCAATGATTCTCTCTCATCATTGATGTTTCTATCTCTCTCTCCCTCTCCCTTCCTCTCTGAAATCAATAAAAATACATTTAAAAAAAAATGTCCTTCTTCCCCAGGAAAATGTTCCCTGTGGGAGTGACATTTCCAAACAGGAAGCAGTCCCAGGGCGAGTGGTCCTTATCAGTTACCCTTGTCCCCTTCATGCTGCAGAGCCAGCGCCACTAACCCAGTCCCAACCAAGGCCACAGTGAGTAAACGGATATGTGTGAGATTACCGTTCTTCTCTTCAGTAAGCAGGAAAAGAGTTAAAGAGACAGTAGTGGGATTCAGAAATCAGTTTTGATTCATAGGAAAATAAGAGGCATGAAATCCCCATTAGAGAGCAAAAGGTACACGGCCAAGGGAAGTCCTTACCAGCTCTCACCAGGTATAGGCATGAGAGAATGTCTTACAGAATGGTTTAGAACAGTGGTCGCCAACCTTTTGGACCTCACGGACCACCAGTGGTCCGCGGACCACCGGTTGGCGACGGCTGGTTTAGGAGACGCAGGCAAAGGGAACAACAGTGGGCTGGAACTAGGGACTGGAGGGCGCTGGTGGAGAGCAGCGACTGTCCAGGGGCCCTTCAGTCCTTGTGAAAGTGCCTGCTCTCTCGGGGCCATGTGTGCCCCACCCTGTGAGCCCCAGCAGTCATTTCTGCCTCCTGCAGATGTCCCTGTGAGAGACAAGGAGGTGCAGAAGAGAGATAGGCCTCAATGAAAAGCTGACTTACATCTCCCTTCTTCTGAATCTGAGCTTGGACCTCTGGAACGGGCATGTCGATGTAGATCACCACGTGAGGAGGCAGGTACTCGCAGATGGTCACTTTCTTCACCTCATTGTAGTGGTCCACACCTGGCACACACAAGAGAGGCGCCATCTGTCATCTAATAGTCCAACGTAGGTGTTTCTAAAACATACTCTTCTTCAAATACAAGGACAAAGGCATATGCACCTCTCAGAGCCAGTCAGCTGTCAGTGCAGCTGCACACCAGCCCTGGGATGGCTCTGCAGGTGCCAGGGGGCTAGCACAGCAACCCTGCAGTTCCACAGTCCTAGAGTACCAGGCCCAGAGAGATCATGCTGGGATGCAAACCCTGACTTTAACAGCCTTAGGATTTTCAAATGCATCTTGGACACACTTAACACATGTGGACAGATCACGAGAATGCTTGCTTCATATTACACAGTGTTTTACAAAGTATCATATTTTAAAAAGATATTAGCTTGTAAGAACATGTAATAAATAACTTCAAAATGCAAGGGGTATTTAATTTTAAAGCGTGCCTTTAACATTTATGTAAAACGTTTTTTGTACTAGTTCAATAGAAACTTACCTGGCCATTGGGTAAAGCTAGCACTAAAACTACTTACTTCCTAGGCAACAGGAATGGGTCATATACACCTCTTATATGTGTATTTATTTCTTCATCATAACAGATCTTCTCTAAGGAGTAAAAGACACCACCCTTGCCCACACAGGAACACTGTCAAGAAAGCATGGTCTGCACATTGTCACGTGGTGGAAACTTCCAGAAGTGACAAACTTTGTGATCACACTAAGATGCATGGAAAGAAAACCATCTTGCTCTAAAGCAAGCACTCAGGTGACCACTCCTGGCAGCTCTGGTTTTCAAGGCAATTCAGGACAGGCCGCTGGTCCAAGGCAGCTGGGAAACACGAGAGACCAGTGAGGAGGTGGAATCAGAGTGAATGGCCAAGGCTCACTGTGGATGCTGCTCCCCTGACCACAATCACCTAATATCTGTCCATGCAGAGAACACGCGGCCTTGAGTTTGCTTCCCATCCATTCACCCTGGAACCAGGCCCATCCTTCCCACATCAGGTTAGAGCTCCCTTCAGCTGCTTCCTCTATATTCCTGTTCATGTTCCCATTTCTTAGGCAATCTCACCTCCTTATAGGCCACCCACACCCAAGTGATCTCTTTCCCCCAACCCAGCACTGCAATGACTCTTGCTGTGGCACTGATGACTGTCCCCACTACCCTACGACTGTCCACCACTACCCTACTGGCCCTGTGTGTATTCCTGACCATTCAGGCGCAATTCTGCACTGGCCTTCTTTCCTGGAACCTGGAAGCCCCCAAGGATTCCAGTCTCAGGCCTCACCTCTCACTCTGTGGGCTCTGCAGTGCTGACCCTCCACATTCATCTCCAGCCCAGACCACTGCTCAGGACTTTAGCTCAGACACGCAGCTGCCTTAAGGACATCGCCACAGCTCTCTCACAAGAATCTGACTCGGCATGCCCAGCTGCTGCCCTTGAGGGTCCTCCTCCCTTGGTGGCCCCGTCAGCCCAGGCAGGTCCACTTTTATTCTCATGTTCCTCCCACAGAGCTGACCCCAAGCTTGCCATGTGCACCTGCTCTGTCTCAGATCCACCCACCTCAGCAGGCTGCCCCACTGCCCCGTGTGGCCCTCACCCTATGATACACTCGTCCTCCTCCAATTTCCTCTCACCAGACATCCCTCCAGATACATGAACTCAAATCTCACCACATCCCTCACATGCCTAAAACACTACAGGGGCTCCTCAGTCCTTTCAGGAAAAGTCCTAGCGACCAAGCTGAGGGGCAGCCCCTCCTCGTGCACCGTCCTCACTCACCCTGCTGCACGGCGCATGGCTCGCCAGGGTTCACTCTCTAAGGTCACAACACACCATGTCCCAGCTGGTTAGACATCCTGTATGCTTCCACAGCACCCCGACAATACCAAGGACCCACACGCATTTTACTGCAACTAGCCACCTGTGCTGCTTTAACACTGCCTTCCCACTGCAGGACAGGGGAGCCTCTGATACATCTTCATCTCCCTGGCACCTGAGACAGAGCCTGCACACAGCCTGCCCTCCAGAAGGCTGCTGACCGACTCTAACTGCCACTCAGTATGTCCAGCAGGGGTTGGTACCGTGGTCAGAGGCCAGGGCTCTGGCTGCTCCTTGTACAGGCATGCAGTGGACACCCTTAACAGCAGGGCAGATAGGCACACAGGAGCAGACAGCCTGGCCTCACTCATCACTGGCGTGCCTCCGCCCCCCCCCCCCCCCCCCCCCATTCACTAACCAACAATGCTTACTCTGCCCTCCAGCAGGCAGAGCACACAGAAAAAGGTCCATGGGCAGACTGACATGGCCTTTTCCCAGCCCCACCCCTCCCTGCCCCACCCCGCCCAGCACACTCCTGGGTACAATAACCTGGCCCGGCAGGGCAGGCTTCTATCACCTCTTGTGGTCAAATGACCTTTACCCAGGTCTGTATTCCTGCCCACATGCCACTTGTCAGACTCTGAACAATGTCCCTAAAAGCTTCAGTGCAGCACCCTGTTGGAGAGAAAGGGTGGTGATAATACCAGCTGTCACCTGGTATAGGCATGAGAGATGAAAGACACCTAATTACATAATACACTAGAAAGTGCAGTTCAGGGAAATTAAATCTATTGACCAAAGAAAAATAGCTTAGGTAGCAGCTAGACAGAGCAGAGAGCCGGGGGGTTTCTTGAGGAAGGCCGTGTGGCAGACGTTCCCAGAATGCACACCAGCTAAAGGTGGTGTATCACAGCCCTGACGACCCAGGAGCTGGCTCGAGAAGGGACTCACACTGCCTCCGGATGAAGCCCTGCTTGTACATCGCATCCAGGAACACAAAGTCGCTGTAGATGGAGCGCTCCAACACGACACCCTGCCCTGTTTCAAGGAGGGAAACAGACACCAAAAATCAGACATGATGACTACAGCAATGGAAAGGTGTAATTTCATTTTAGAAAGGGGGGAAAAGTTATTTACAAGTCCAAATATTTTCAAAAGAACATAGATACACTTCTAAGTGGGAACTGATTTTCAAACAATATTTTTTTGGTTTGGGCAAGAGACCATACTGCTTCATTGTGTCAGCTGCAACAAAAGCATCTGATTACTAGAAAGTGTTTCCCCGCCCACCATGCCCATCACAATCCTGCACCAGCCCCAACCTTGGTGAGACCAGGCTCCTCCTCAGGTCCCCTCTGGCCAACACCCCACTCACAGCTAACCGCCAGCTTTCTCCCCAAGGCATTCCTATCGAACTACTTAGCACCACTTCTGCAGCGACCCTCCCAGTGCAAGCCTCCTCACCTCTGACCGGGCCAGTCTCCAGCTCAGTTCCCGCCCACCTGCCCCCCAGCCTCAGGCTGCTCTCACTCACCCACAGAGGCATTTCCAAACTGCAGCCAGATCCTGTCACCCCTCCACTCAAACTCTCAATGGCTTCCTCTCCTTCAGGGGAAAAACCAACAACTGACCATCTCGCCCAGGCTACTTCTCTGGCCTCCTGCCCCTCAACTCCCAGCCTCGTTCACTGCGCTCCCACATGGCCTCCTGAATGTCACTACAGCACACAGAGGCTCTTCATGCTCAGAGTGCTGGTCCCCAGGGGCTCCCGGCCCATTTCCCTGCACTCAGTCCTGCAGTGCTGGGCAGAGGCCTCCCCTGACCTTCCCATCTGGAAGAGTAGCCTCCAGCCCTGCTCCAAACCCCTTCCTCTCTGCATCTACCACTCACTACCTAGCATGGCATCAATTTTTGCCTTTTACTCCGTGTCTCACCTACTAAAATGTAAGCCCCAGGGGTGGGGACTGACTTCCTGTGGTAGCCCCTAGTTCCTAGAACACAGCTGGCACTCACTAAATATTTAATGAATAAATTAGTATAGCACAAAAGGAAACAAGTTTTCATTTAAAACGTTTCTTTTTAAGAAATGGGGAGTCCTGAGGCAGGGCTGAAGTATGCTTCAGGAAGAACCTGGAGTGAATGGAGAGTCACTAATGCCTGCAGGCTCCACGTGGCTCCTGTGAGCTGGTCCTGGCACAGAGCATCAAGGCCACGTTTTTTTATCAGGAGCAGAGTTGACCAAAATCAGGGCTTATGTTCATAGAAGAAAAAGTATCACTAATAACATGTTAGAAAAGTAAGATAATAACTAGGCCCTCTGATACCATTTAAAGAGCATTATCCTGCATCTCGTTGTGCAATCTGTGTATGTGGGACCTGCCAGAACATAGACAGGGTCTCTCAAATGCAGGCTTCTGAACCAGCATCATCAGTTACCTGTGCTCACGCTCAGACACCATGAAGCAGAACCTCTAGGTCAGCAGTTCTCAACCCCTTTAGTGGCCAAACGACCCTTTCACAGGAGTCGCCTAAGACCATCCTGCATATCAGATATTTACATGACGATTCATAACAGTAGCAACATTACAGTTATGAAGTAGCAACGAAAATAATGTTATGGTTGGGTCACAACATGAGGAACTGTATTTAAAGGGCTAGAAGGTTGACAACCACTACTCTAGGTGGCAGCTGGGCTCTTCGTAAATAAGCTCACCAGATAACTGATAGTCGATTGGTGTGGCAACCATGTACTAGTACAGTGGCTGGTACAAACCACCCACCTCGCACATAGCATCTGTTTCTGTGCGAGAACGCAGGACTGCTTGGGCTTGTGACTGTGGCCGCATACCAGTGCTGCATCCGTTTTCTGAGTCTCAGGGTGTTCTGGGGACCAAGTCTCACCCATGTGCAAGTTACCAGGAGGAGGAAGCAGCCCGGCCTGAATTCCAACCTCATTCTGCATTCCCAACAACTGTGGTCTTGCCCCATTTGTTCCGAGTCCCTCCATCTCCTGTGTCCTTATCCCTGGTGCTTGCCCCCAATACTCTGGACCTTGCCTGCCCCAGTACATAGCCCTTGTCCACTTCATGCCTGCTTCATGTAACTTCCAGGGACACCCCCCTTGCTGTGTATGCCATCTCCTCCACCACTGCCATCATCCAGATGGTTAACTTCCACCCTCTGGAGTGATGGTGAATTCCAGCCCATCTCTGAGCTTCAGTGACAACCCTATTTTGTTGCAACCCTACCTCTGTCTGGCACATGGCCCCATTCCCACGACTGTGACTCCACTTCCTCCCAGTCATTTGGAGGTTCTTTTTCCCCCTCCTTTGTTTTGACACATGTGCCAGACAAATTCCATATAATCCATAAATCTCACTCCCGTACACAAAAGTTAAAAATAGTATGAAGTGAATTTATTCTAAAACGACGATCACATGGGCCTTGGGAAATGTATGATCTTACGGAAAGAGAGAAGTTGCTTCATCAGATGCCCTTAAGGAAAAACTCACTAGTGGCGATCTAAAGTGGCTGAGTTCCAGAACAGGGTTCAAGTGCAGAACACGCTCACCAGCTACCTGGCCATGGATACTGCACCTGTGCTCAGCAAGTGTTCCAAGGCGTCTGCGTACTGCAGGAGGCGACTGGCATACAGCCAGGACTGCAGACGGTAACTGTTGCCGTCATTACTTTTGGGATCATCGTAAAACTTCTCCAAACTGCAGTTGCCACTATATTGTACGTCCAGGGGTTTTCCATCCCCCGTGGTGCTGTCTGCATAGTGTATTCCTGCTTCAGGAAAGTGCTTCAAGCCTGAGGAGAGACAGACCACGTGAAAAGAGAGGTGGATGCTTCACGCCCTATCAGCAAGCAGCATGCACTAACAGGAACTCCCATCTGACACCAGCACTGAGGCTCACTGGTGAGGACCTGGGGACAGTAACCTGCACACCAAAGACACAGGTGTGCTCAAGGGAGCACTAAAGACACTGAAGACATGTCTGAAACAGGCGTGAGAGAAGCATGTCGGCTCAGAGGTTTCACTGCAACAAGCCTCCTTGCACCCCCACCCCATATGAACTCAACCCACAACTATGGGAGTCCCGTGTGCAAGCAAGCAGGTGCTCGTTAAGGATCACAGGAAGGTATGGAGGACAAACACCCGCACCGGGAGTAGGAAAGGGGGCTGGCACCTGGCTTTGCTCTAAAGAGCTGTGTGCCGTCAGCTTCATACTGAGTTTACCCATCTGTGATGACGGCCTTTGTATGCCCCGTTTCAGAGGCTGTTATAAAGCTCAAGTAAGACAGCTCGTGTCAAAGTGCTCCATTTCCATCAAACTGAGAATGGCAATGATTTTTTAATTTTCCAAATATGAAAGTTAAAAGCAGCTTTTTAATAAATATTTTTAAATGCAAAATACCTACCTTAGTCCAATTCTACCTGGCCAATATTAAAGTAAAATCAACCTCACAGAAGCAACCATACATCGGAGAAAATACTGTCATTCTGCATGACACAGATTCATACCTAGTTTCTCTGCTATTGCTTTTGCAAGCTTGCTTTTTCCAGAACATATATTGCCATCGACGGTTATCACTTTGCTGAATTTTGTCAGCTTTTTTGATGTTTTGTCGCCAAATATGAATGCCAAAGGGCCAAACTGTCTCTGGCCCTGTACACTCGTATGGATTCCTCCCTGAAAAACACAACAACACATGTGGGCATGCTGGCTGCTGCAGGCACGAGCAGTTATTAGGTAAAAGGCCAAGAAGGCCGTTGGTTATAAAAATGTTAATATATACAACTTTACTACCTATTTGTTTAATTACAGGTCTCCCCGTCCCACCCCCAAGGTAAGTTCTTAAGGACAGGGGATTATCTGAACAGATTGTGTGTACCATGTTTAATAAAAATTGGATAGATGAAAGTAAGGCAGAGTGTGGGGAAAGTGGGGGGAGAAAGGTAGGAAGGACATAAAGAACATTTCTCCAGTCTAGTCTTCTGTCCTGGTTGCCTCACTGTCTTCAAACAGCTCCACTAGGTGTCCTGATCATTCCTGAAAGCTAACAGACCTAAAACTGAGATGCGGCATCCACACCCTGCAGCCAGCTCTGCTCCCTCACAAGCTCTCTTTCCACTACCAACCGAGGGAAACAGCGCAGGCATGGAGTCATCCTTCACATGCTCCTCCTCCCTCCAACTCCACAATCACTCACAAAATCCTACTGATCCTGCATCTTAAATCTCTCTGGAGCGCGTCACCTTCCTATCCCACGGATCCACAGATGTCCTCACCTCTCTCACCCACAATGCAAACACCTGCCTCATCTCCTGTCTCCAATATCCCCAATCTATTTTTTGCACTAAAACCATAACAATCCCTCCAACGCGTGCGGACACACACACACACACAGAAATACAATCGAAGGGCAAAGTGACTAGCAAGCCACAGCCACCCAGCGATGTATTCCCAAGTTTCCAGCCACAGTTGTGCTTCTCCGGACCCTCCGCGTGCAATGCCGCCCGTCCCTGTTGGCGACCACAGGGGTCCCCTCGTCCTCCCAAAGCCAGCCCGAACGCCTCCTGCTCTGCGTCAGGGCCCGCCCGGGCTGCTGTCAGAGCCGCTACGCGACAC